TTCCCATCGTGAAATTGTGTTAACGGAATACAAGTGTCAGAGTGTGTCCGTTTTTTGGCGCCACCCAGGACACCAGCTTTCAGCAAGCGCTTGAATGCTGGTTTGCAGGCGAGCCCCAGCAGCGTGGGCGACTCGGAGGATGCCACCAGCACCCGGAAGCGGCGCCGGGTGAGTGATCCCTTTGGGGCCTCAGAAGAGATGGATGAAGAGGAGGATGTGCCACTTGGTGAGGAACATCGAAAGAAAGAGAGAGGGAGAGGGGGAAGAGAGAGAGAGTGAGGAATAGTGTGAGGAGTGAACAGATGGGACGTTTTTGGATGTGATGTGAGGCGCTTTTTGTGAGATTCATGACACGTTGTTCCGAGTCCGAGCTGACCATCGGACCAACTCGGAATGTCAGAAAGAGGACAATGGAATTGTTGGCTGATGCAACTGCATGTGCATGTGAAAAGGTTGGGGATAGCATTGTTTCGTGCTGAGATGTGCTCAGGCCCGAAAAAGATTATGACCTCCTCCACGAGCGCTTATCACAGGGCTCTGACATCGAGAAGCGACAACGGGACAAGATCAAGCTTTGCTTTCGGCAGTTCCTGTCACTTAGAGCTGACGCAGAGAGAGCGTGTTCGCATGCTGATCGACACACCAGTAGATCAGGGTTGCTAAAATGCATCGTTGGCCCTTTGGGGATCGTCACACGTGGGCGAACGAACGCCGGACAATCTAGGATCTCAAGGGTCCTTTTCATATTTTTTTAGTTGTGTCTATAAGCCCATTCGTCCTCGGCCGAAAACAAAACTCTTATCTAATTACGACGTGCTTCCTTGCAAACTGGCCTGCCCATACTGACCTTGAGCTCAATTCAGGTGGGGTTTGACACACAGCTTCTTCAGCGTGCAGAGTCCATTCTTCATCACCCAAATGGCCCTTCGGGCCATTACTTACTCTTGCCTCAGGTTGAAGTACGTCCCCGACGGCCAGAGCGTTCCCAAATATCCGGACGTGCTGCGGAAGATGGCGGAGGAACACCAGGCGCATTTGGAGGTGAGTGACTTGGCGATGGAGAAGGGTTGAAAAGGGTATGCCATATATATGGATAGATTGGGGGTGGTTTGGGGGGGTCAATGTAGGATAATGTAGGCATACGTGGAGTGTATGGTCTATATTAACTATATTATATGTTGCGTGGCGTGACATCTGGGCCTCTTCAGAAGGTCTCACCGAGTCTCACCCATGCAAAGTGTGGTGTGCAGCCCGAAGCAACGGTAAGGTGACAGCAAGGTGGTTTCACGGGGGATCTTCTGCATGCTGCATGCCGTGCCTCTTTCTAGGTGTTCTGCGGGGTTCTTGTGGTTTCGGCTAGAACTGGAATTTGTTGGAATTATGATTTATCCTTGGCCCTATTTTTGGCAGCATCTCAAGAGATCGGGGTTTGCAAAAGAAAGGTTGAGAAAACTGAAAAAGAGAGCGAGAGAGAGAGACAGACCGACGGACGGACGGACGGACAGACAGACAGAGACAATTTAAGCACCTTTCCAATCCATGGATCTTTACCCACCAGGCGCTCGAACTTTTATTTGATGCCTTTCCCAGCTACTGAGGTTATACAGATCTCCAAAAATGGAGCGGTCAACTTGCACCTGGGCTCATTTGGCCCGAGTGTGTTTGTGTGCATGGGTTTGTTATAGGCTGGCGGAGAAGACGCAGACTCTGAGACCCCAAGCGGGGACATGGCAGCTTCCACACATTGGCCACTCCTTTCTAGATCAAGAATTCAGGGTGGCAAATAGTAGTAGCTAGAAGCTACAAGGTGGTGGCCATCGCTATTAGGTTGGAGGCCATCGCTACAAGTAACAAGAAGCTACTAATAAAGAAACAACGCGCATATATAGATGTTACTTTCAATGGTTCTTCCAAATCCCGGGCGGAACCACCTTGCAGGCCATGTGGATCTCAGACTTCCCACATCATATCCTGCCCATGCTGAAGCTTGGCTGAGCTACGACCGGTCGCTCCTGGCCTAATCGAAATTGTGTAGATAGAGAGATCCGCTGGACCGGTATCCTGGGAGGTCATGATGGTCGCACAACTTGCAGGTCCTAGGTTTTCTGACAGATTTTTTGCAGTCTGGGTTTCTTCTTCAACAGCGAAGGAACGAGACACTGATGCTCCTGGCGGCTCAGAAGTTCAAGACCTATGAGAAGTTAAGCGAGGCAGGTGAGAATGAGCTCCGAGTGGCTGTCAGCGCCTTTCCCATCAAGGACCCATTCTTTTTTGCACGGGCCAGTGGTTTAGATGCAATATTAAGATTATCATAATATATTATAAGTATATATAATATGCATGTATATATATACACATATACACGCCATAATATATCATAATACAATATAGGTATATAATATATATATATATATATACACGCCAGCTGCCTCCGGCTGTCGAACCTGGCATGATGCCTTTTGGTGAAGCTGTGCCCAAATGTTGATCCAATATGATCCAATCTTCTTCAGTGTTTGACTGGTGCTGCTTTTCCATGCTTTTCCACCCTGGCCCTAGCCACCATGGTTCATAGCTGATTTTGTTTTTAATGGATTCCAGCCTTCGAAGGTTTCCTCCAAAATCAGGACCCCATCCGGAGCTTGGCCACTCGGCACACCAACAAGTTGGTGAATGTATCCGGAGTGGTCACCAAGCGAACTACGGTTCACAATCAGGCGCGAACCGTCCACCGCGATGACGGGGCAAATGTGTGTGTGAGTGCCATGGATGACGGAGGCCGACCAGAGACCAGGGCTGTGGAAGTTGGGGTTTAGAGCTATTCAACAGGTGTTTGATCAAAAGCCGCGACGCTGGAATCCACCTATCTTTTGTATCACCGTGATGGCAGCACAAGACAATGGAGATCGAGGTGCCTTCGCACTAGCAAGATCATTGCCAAGGAAGTCGGTCGATGCACCCTCTCCAACACAAACGAAACGCCACCACACATGCATGGAGGGAGACTATGGGAAACTTTCTTGCATCCAATTTTCCCGAAGCACGTGAGCACTCCTGCTTGGCGGGGCAGGTGCGCCGCTTGTGGGTGCGTTGCGCCAAGTGCAATCTGAAAGCTGGACCTTTCGATGTGGCCGAAGAGAAGGACCTGAGGCGAGTCCGGAATCCCCCCCAGGACGGTCAAACCGGCACGGAGTGGCTTTTGGGGGGCCCGTGGGGGGTGTACGAGATCCGTTCGTATCTGTGGGTCCAGTGGCTCTTCCACTCTGGGTCCACTCGGCCTCGGCGGCTTCCACCGTTACCCGCGCGGTGCCAGAGGCCCTCGAGATGCTTGGAGTGCACCTCAAAAGGGCCGTGGCGAGTAGACCGGCAGAGCACCATCTATCAGAACCATCAGACGATCACCCTGCAGGACAGCGGGGAGTAGATATGCGAAGATGCACTGTGTGGGAGGTGGGGGCCAGCCCTCTGTTTCTGGGATGTGTAGAAGAAGAAGAAGAAGAAGAAGAAGAAGAAGAAGAAGAAGAAGAAG